TGTGTTACTGAAACAAGATGTGGACCCCACAGGCAGCTATATTGTACTCATCTGCAAATTATACGGTAAATGCTTTACCCTGGTTAATGTATATAACCATGCAAAAGAACACAAGGTCTTGCAGGGTCTTTCTGAATATCTTTGTCAGACTGCCAAAGGTGTCTTGATAGTTGCAGGGGATTTCAATACTGTTCTAAACACAGATCTTGACCGGGAGTTTCCAACTGGACATACAGAGCCCCTTAGACCTTATCTTGAGGACTTCATCTCAAGTTTAATGCTTGTAGATATATGGGGGTTTAAGAACCCTTTTATAAGAGATGAATTTAGTCGGGTTCCATGGGAACTGTCAACAACGAGGGGTGCATCAAGACTAGATATGATCCTTATGCCACGGACTGCTTTATGGCTTGTGAAGGATTGTAAAATTAAACATGAGGAACTTGTAAATCCTTGTAAAAGGATTTCAGATCACCACCCTGTAATTCTACATCTGGATGTACAGGAATTAGATCAGGCAGCATGTTCTACTAGCACCCCTAAGACAAATCACACAAAGGCAGGTGAAATTTGTGAGGCTGAGGTCCTGAAAGCTATATCTTCTCTGATAGGGTGCAAAACCACAACTGGGGAGAGTCTAGAGGACATCAGGGTGAACAAAGAGTTTAAAGCAGGAAAGCTTAAGAGGCGTTTCAATGGAATGATCATAACTGAATCGATACCACAATATTTCATTGAAAATGAACAAGTAAATGGATGGCACTTCTTTAAAGCAGAGTACATGATACTTGCCACAATACTTGTTAGGCGCATAGAGGTATTCCTTCAGCCCTCATTCAAAACCAAAAACAAAAAAACGCATTACAGAAACATTGGTGTTGTTGGCTTTCGTACTGCCCCTAAAACAGTTGACGAGGGCTTTTTATATGATGCTTTAAAATCACTGAAGCGCATTCACCCATCACCCCCACGAGGTTTCGGGATTTTGAGGAAACTGCTTCCAAGAACTTGCGGAAATGTACAGCTCAGAAAGGGATGCCCACTCACACCAACCCTTTTGACAATGACTTTGAAACATCTAGCCATTAAATTACAGAATGATATCGATGAATCTGTCGTTGATGTTTGTCATCATAGAAAGTGTCTTACTATCTACATGAACTATGATAAATCAACTCTAAAACAAAAGATTAAACGATTTAAATTTTTTTTTGACAGTTCTCTTTCATGTTCTGTCCATGAACAGAAAAAAAGAAAAAACTGAATTGGTGCTTACAAATTTCTACGAGTGTTTCTGAGAAAACTAATTTGATTCAGTGAATGTCATCAAATATAATACAGTAGTAATAATCTACAGTAATATAAAACTGAAACGAAGCAATAAATACTGAAACTCTGAACATTACTTTTTACTTTTCAAATGTAATGAAAGTGTATTTGAGCGTAACTTATGTGTTAAATAATTCAACCCTTGGATTTGGAAAGCAACTTTACAAATGACTGACTAAACTGTCTGACACTGGATGAAATGGAGGGGGTCATTACACACAATTTAAAATTTTTTCCTCCACAATATTTTATATATAGGCCTTTATGTCAAGTTTATTTATTTTTTTTTTGTCTGTTGCCTACATCTCGTTTTATTTTATATGGAATGTTTTTTTTTTTGTTTTTGCTTTTTAATGGTATGTAATGTTTTCAATGTTTTGCTCAACAAGTCTTGATTTTTTTTATTTTGCATTTATTCTATTAGTTATCCTTACTTATAAACCAGTATACTTAAGACATGTGATTACTTATACTTTTCCAGGGTTTACATTGAACTGAATTGTTATTTATGTACAAAAGTATCCACTGACTTTGATGCTTAGAAATAAAAAGGAGACAATGGATGTTAAATGCAAATTGATGCAAAGATGTTAAAAGATTACTTTTTCAAATTTGTAAAGGAATCTCTATTCATTAATTATGGTCATGACTCATGCAGCAAGTAGTTGCATTGTGGCAGTAATCCATAACATTTTCTATAAAATATATAGGCCCTGATAGACAGGAGGCCTTACTTTTTTGTACAATTTTTGTGTTTTTTTGTATCTATGAAAAAAAAATGTAGGTCACAATTTAGATTAGGGTCCAATTCCTAATTACTGCTTAGTTTGTAGTTGGTATGTATTGGGTGTTGGGTATGGATTAAGGGATATAGAAAATAGTCATGCAGAATAAGGAATTATGTGCTTTAAAATTAATAATAATCAGCCAATATGTTGTACCTCGATGTTTGTTTGATCAAACACAATCACACATTTTTGATCTTCTTGGGTTGCAGAATTTTGTGATTAAATGTTCTTGTTCTGAAACCGTTTGTGTAGTGTGTCAACCCGGGTTGAGTGTGTACAAATATCTGTGTTGTGTAATAAATGTATTGACACCATTACGTTCCGTTGTTGTGTTATGGTAGTGTTGGTGTTGCAATCAAGATGCAATTAAGTTTCAAAACGTAAGAATGGAACAAGGAATATCATTTGCTGAAGCAATTAACAAAGTAAAACAATTAAACCCCCAAAGTAAGCATAGTAGAGGACCTTAGTAAGATGTAAGATGCCAACACTATAAGAAAATTTTTTTTATTGATTGAAGACACAGTTTCATTAATAGCTTTTGTGTCAGAAGCGGGGAATTGTTCAGCGCAGCCTGAAAGTAGATCTGATCTGATTAAGATAATCATTAGAGCTGCAGAAAAAAATATTTGAAACTGAAGAACATTTCAGTTGACATGATAAATGAAAGACTTGTGGTACAAGCAACAAACATGTTGGGGACTCATAATTGCTTTTGTAATTTTGCAAATGGAATGCAAGAAGTTAATTGCAAACAGGAAAATGATCATAATACTTTCATTTAATACTTTCCAATCGCACCTACGAGCTAAATTTTCAGATATTGTCAATTCTAACAGAATAATTGCATTTAGAAAGATTAACTCTTGTGTAGCTTCCACATTAATGCACACTAGCCCTCCCCAGTCCAGCATATCTTCGATGATCCGTTATGATCAGTAGTAAAACTCCCCCATAAAGTAGGCTACTGTGTGCATTAAAATCACCACACCACACCATTTTAAAGTGCCCATTCCTCCAATATTTTCCATCATATCCTTAGTTATCTGATTTGATATATGACATATGTAAAACACCATTGTGGTATCTCCTATGTATTTACATGTTTGCTCATCTATCATTAGTTTACAGTGGTAGAGATAGTTTTCCATAATAACTACTTAGGCTGTGCTTTAAGCACTGCAGTTTAGCTCTCTAATATATTCCTAACATCATTTTTTGTAGTATACATGTTGTGTATTATTAATGTTGGTATATGCCTTTTGCATGTTCTTGTCTGTTTTTTGTGATGTAATTGCCCATTCACTTGATTGGATGTATGTGATCATGTGACCATGCATGGCTGTATATATGGAGGTGTGTCTCCCCACTTGTTTATGTCTGATGAAGGGCTTGGGCCTGAAACATATACACGTGGTGAGCAACCATTGAAGGAGCATCTTCTGGTGTGCGGACTTATTGTTTACTTTTGTTCATACAATGTGTTCCTCATGTTTGAACTTGCCACATGTCTATCAGTAGAGAATGCTGCATTTATCAATACAGTTTGTCATCATATTGGTCAATAAAGTAATGCTAATGTTTCAGATTCACTATTCTAAGTAAACACATTTTACCTTAATTTAAATGTCAATATGTTTTACTTTATTTCATGTAAGCTACAAATATCACTTATATATCAGTCATTACATATAAATATATTTTGAAAAATACAGGTGAGAAAGACCAATACAATCATTTTCACCATTGCTTTACAGTATGATTTGATATCATTATTGGAAATTGCTATTAATTTACCTTGTTAATCACATTACAACTTGATGTAAGCCTGTTGTGTTCACATACACAAAACGAAATTAAAACTTAAATTATAAATAGTTGAGTAATAACGTAATTTTTAATACTTATTTTTAAATGTAAACCTTTTAAGGCAAGAATGTAAGGACAAAACGAGCCTGAGTGAGTTCCTCATTTGATACATTGTAAGTTAAATTTATATAAGATTGTTGTGATAAAACAGGCCTAGCTTGGGTTGAATTGGTCATTTTGTATGGATTTTTAACAAAACAATGCCGAATTTTCTCTCTTTTTTAGATTTTGACATTATTATTTTACACGAAAAATGCATGCTGCATGTTCATGTGAAATAAACTATATTTTATAAAAAAATAGCCATGCGTTTTTTTATTAAACAATCAAAATTATCTTACAAATACATATCTTCAATGTCAAAACAATTTAAGATTTTTGTAAACACAATAAATAAATAAATAAATAGAGCATAAAATATCACAGAGGTGTAATGAGTTATCAAATTGTGTATAATTTTGAAAACCTCCAATGCTTGTCTTGTTTTATATCTTTCAAAGCTTTATTATACAAAGTTAACTCCTCCATAAAAAACAAAAAAAAAACAAATGCCTTACCTTCCTAACTATACACGTATGTATAAACTGCTTACATTAAAATGGCCATAAGTTTCAAGTATTATTTTTTCACCATCATGATCAGGAAGTAGGCTAACTCATAATACAATGAAACGAATAACTGAAACTATATACAATTATATTACACAAAATCAATGTTTTAAAATGCTTATTGTACTGTATGTAGTATCATAACATACATACGTAGAGAGTAGGACGTTTCTTGTTCAATAAAAGCTGTTTCATGTGTAAAATACCCTCCAAATTACGTTAGGTGGCGTTATTAGGTTTCAAACCTAAGCTCCGCCCCTCACTTACGTTCCTGGCACTGGTATGGTTAGAACCTAACCCCGCCCCTTACTTCCGGTTCTGGCGCTGGGGTTCTCTGGCGTTGGGGTTCTGAAACTGGTGTGCTGCAGAGGCATGGCTCTGGTGTGCTGCTGCTGCAGCTGGAAACGCCTTCTTGTTGTTCCGCAGAAACGTATATTTGGACTGTATCGTAAAACTTTCTCTGGTAAAACTCTCTACAGCTCTGGTTAACCTCAGCGTTAATGCAAATAAACTGAATTTAAGGATTAAAATGCACATTTGAAGGAAAACCAGTGAAAATGCTCTTTATTTTGCCCACATTGCTTTGGTGTTTACGTGGCCGTGGTAAGACTTTCAGACCTTTATGTTTCTCTTCCGGATCTCCGTTGTGTTTTGTTGTTTCTATTGTGCCTGCGTGCACTAGGCGAATGCAAATAGTGTAAAATGCAAAAGCATTTGTTTTGAAGCGTTCGAAACGCCACTCACTGTACAGATTGGGTCGCATCACTGTAAATGCACCAAAAACTTGCATAAAATGCAAAACAACGCCTTTTTTCAAACCCATTACAAATATTTTATTGTGAAGTAAAATCAATCAAAAATTGAAGACACACCTAAATTAAAGTCAGGGGCCACTTCTGGATATAGTAAGCACTGTATACAGTGAGGAAAATAAATATTTGAACACCCTGCTATTTTGCAAGTTATCCCACTTTGAAATGATGGATTGTCTGAAATGGTCATCGTAGTTGCATGTCCATTGTGAGAGACATAATCTAAAAAATAAAATAAAAAATCCAGAAATCACAATTTATGATTTTATAAAACTATTTATTTTGTGTTATACAGCTGCAAATAAGTATTTGAACATCTTGAGAAAATCAATGTTAATATTTGCCTTTGTTTGCAATTACAGAGGTCAAACGTTACCTGTAGTTTTTCAACAGGTTTGCACACACTCCAGGAGGATTTTGGCCCACTCCTCCACACAGATCTTCTCTAGATCGGTCAGGTTTCTGCGCTGTCGCTGAGAAACACAGAGTTTGAGCTCTCTCCAAAGATTCTCTATTGGGTTTAGGTCTTGACACTGCTTCTTACAGAGCCACTCCTCGGTTATCCTGGTTGTGTGTTTCGGGTCATTGTCATGTTGGAAGACCCAGCCTCGACTCAATGCTCTAACTGAGGGAAGGAGGTTGTTCCAGGGGCGTAGCCAGTATTGGGCCAGGGCGGCACTGGCCCACCCACATTACTCACTGGCCCGCCCAGGCAAGTTTGATAAAAAAAAATTTTAGTTTATATTTATTATTCAAATGTATTTGAGAAAATATATTAATATATATACCTGATTTATTGTTGACTGCTGTGTGTTTAATTCATTTCCCGAATAAAATGGAACTGTTGAATCAAGTTGTAGAAAGCCTCCCTCCGGAATGTTATTGGTTGCTATGGTTGCTGGGGGTTTCAATAGAAAAACTCTCAGCGGCACTGGCTCCACAATAATGGCTGCGACTTTCTTTAATGTGCTATTTGGAAAAAGCAAGAGTTAAGGAAGACGACACGCTACTGCCTTCATCTATCGAGTCCACACAGCCAGTTCTTCAGACTCATTAACCCACAAGGCTAGTCAGGTGCTGGCGGCGGCCGCTTCTCTCTCCTTCTCTCCCGGTCTGCTACTTAGGCTACTTTATTTTCGGATGAACTGTCTTTGCAGTGCTGACTAGCCTGAATAAAATAGACAAGTTATTGTCTACATTGGTTTGTCCAGCCTTTATTGAGCTCTGTTGGTTGAACGTGATGATTTGCCGAATATAAACTGTTTTTGCAGGTTGTCTATTAATGTTTCTAGTCTCTAAGATTAATTATTATTGAAGTAATTCACATTAAATGATTTCTGGATTTTTATTTTTTTTTTAGATTATGTCTCTCACAGTGGACATGCACGATGATAATTTCAGACCCCTCCATGATTTCTAAGTGCGAGAACTGGCAAAATAGCAGGGTGTTCAAATACTTATTTTTCTCACTGTGTATATCTATACCTACTGTGTATATATATATATATATATATATATATATATATATATATATATATCAAGTTATCTGGTGAACATTTTGTTTTGTTTAAACGAACTGTTGATTTCTTCTGCAGGTGTGTCTGGTGTTGTTACAGAGAGATGGTCTGTGTTGGAGGGAGAATCAGTCACTCTAAAAACTGATGTTGAAACAACAAAAGAAGATATTAGGTGGTATTTCACATTAGTGAATGACATTCTCATCGCTGAAATCACAGGAGATCAGAGTAAGATCTGTACAAATGTTCAGTGTAAAGAGAGATTTAGAGACCGATTGAGGCTGGATCTTCAGACTGGATCTCTGACCATCAAAGACCCCAGACCTACAGACTCTGGAGTTTATAAACTAAAGCTCAACAGCAGCAGAATCAGTACAAAGATCTCCATTGTTACTGTTCATAGTAAGTCATTATGTGTAAAAGCAAGTACATCACATCTTTATTAGTTACGCTTTTGAACACATTTCCCAGCAAACAAATTTAGGTTCTGAGAACGTTAGTTTTTGGTTCCCAGAATGTTCCTAGAACTTTCCCTTAAGGTTAAGGGAACGTTCCTGGAACATTCTCCTTACGTTATAAAAATGGAACCTTAAAATAACCTACATGGAACGTTCCTATAACGTTCTTGTTTGGTTCCAAAAAAAATAACCTCATGGGACCATTCGGGAACGTTAAGGGAACGTTCTGTGTTGTTTTTCTCTTTACCTGCACTGTAATTCACATTCAATACATAGATAATTCAAAAATGTTGCTGCATTTGTTGCTGGCTGCTAAACAATCCTGGAGAAGTATGTTGCTTGGTAAATAAATTGTTATTTTACATAAATTCATCAATAATTTATTACATTTTATGTTTTGGTGTGTTTGTTCAAACCACTGCCTAACAAGAGTTCAGTATGATAAAAATAAATAAATAAATAAGCAGTTAGTTTTGGTCCATAAAAAGTTTAAATTGTGTTCTGGTGTAAATCAAATATTTTAGTATCAGTAATAATGACTTTTCAGCAGTTTTGCTCTGTTTATCACAATATGCTTGTTTGAGATGGTCATAATCTGATCCCCTAAACACAGCTACACAACTTTCTTTCCTGTTATTTAACTTTGTTTAATTTATATCTGTTCATTTCTACTCCAGGTTTCTTCAGCGCTGAAGATGTAGATTCAGCTTTTGTGCTGGAGGGAGACTCAGTCATTCTTCACACTGGTGTTGAAATAAACCAACAAGAAAAGGTTAGATGGTATTTTAATGACATTCGCATCGCTGAAATCATTGGAGATCTCAGGAAGATCTGTACAGATGTTCAGTGTAATGAAGGCACTGAGAGATTCAGAGACAGACTGAAGCTGGACAAACAGACTGGATCTCTGACCTTCACGAACATCAGAAACACAGACTCCGGAGAATATAAACTACGGATCATCAGCAACAGCATCAGTACAAGGGAGTTCATTCTGGCTGTTTATGGTGAGTCATAATGTCTAAGAGCAAGTTGTGTACGATGAACGTGATTTCACCATGTGAATCAACGTCTTTGTTGATCCTGGAACAACTTTCCAATCAACCAATCAGATTTGAGGGACGAGTTTACAGTTTATGTCAAGTTTAGGCTTAGAACCAGGGTGAAGTATTTCAACATCAGTGTCATTCACCTTTCATTACACACTGATTTTAGGGAAAAGTTATGGTTAGGTTTAGGGATTGGGTAAGTACTACATTTTTGGACAGGAATGTTGATCCAGGAACATGTCTTACTTGGCCAAATCACGGTGTTCAATTTGAAACTTTTTGTTTTATCAGTTAGTTTTGTTCTGATGAAGATGAAAAGTGTGCTTATTAACTCAAAATGTGGATAAATGTTGCTTTTTAGACTAAAAGTAATGAATGTTCCACAGTTTTCTCTTGATATGTAGTGTTTCCCCTTAAAAAAGGTGTTTTTTGTTTGGTTTGTGTTTCAGATTTTCCTGTTGTTGAAGTAGATGAGATAAAGAGAAAGTCGGTAATGGAGGGAGAATCTGTTACTTTAGATACTCATGCAAAAACCACAAATGATTCCATGACGTGGTATTTTAATGACATTCCCATCTCTGAAATCACTGGAGATCAGAGAAAGATCTGTACAGATGATCAGTGTAAAGAGAGATTCAGAGACAGACTGAAACTGGATAACGAGACTGGATCTCTGACCATCACACACACCACAAACACACACTCTGGACTCTATAAACTACAGATCAACAGCAGAAGAATCAGCATCATAAGGAGCTTCGATGTGACTGTCAGCATAAAGAGTTCTGGTACATTCAGTGCATTTTCCTTAGGATTTTTAGAAAACCGTTTTAAATTCTGTAAATCAAGCCTGCACTGTAAAAAAAAATATTGATGGTTTAACTTAAAAAAGTAAGTAACCTGGTTGCCTTAAAATTTTAAGTTGGAAAAATTGAACTGGAAAAAGTGAGTTAATACAATGAAGGACAGTACACTCTAAAAAATGCTGGGTTGTTTTAACCCAATTTTGGGTCAAATATGGACAAACCCGAAATGTTGGGTTAAAAATGTAATGTAAAAATTTAACCCAATGGCTGGGTTAGTCCATATTTGACCCAAAGTTGGGTTAAAACAACCCAGCATTTTTTAGAGTGTAATTTAACCATCAGAAACTCAAAATTATATGTTATCTGAACTAAATTAATTATTTAAGTTGATTTGACAAAAGAAAAAATGTTGTGATTACTACACTGTAAAAAAAAAATATTGTTGGTTTAACCTAAAAAAGTAAGTAACCTGGTTGCCTTAAAATTTTAAGTTGATTGAACTGGAAAAAAGTGACTTAATACAATGAAGTAGATTAATTTAACCATCAGAAACTCAAAATAATAAGTTATCTCAACTAAATAAATTATTATAAAGTTGATTTGACAAAAGAAAATATGTTGTGATAACAAATCTTGAAAATATTTTTTACAGTGTGTGCATGTTCATTGGCGGCTGTTAGTTTCACACAAAGTGAGATTTGACTCAATATTAAAATGTAACTGAGACCATTTCTATTATCTTCTCGTTACATTGAGTTTTGTTTACATTCTGAATTTTGCAATTGTTAAAGGTTGTATTGCGATTGTGGGTGACGTCAGCTCGCCCCTCCCTCCCGTTTCGTGCATCATGAAAAACTCACACACTAACGTTAAATCCCTACAATCTGATATTCGCTAGAGATATCCAAGTTTAGTCGAGCCTCACTCATATTTTTTAAAGAATGATATTTTCACACACAGTTCACGTACAAAAAAAAATCAGCACTAGAAGCTATTCACCTGTCCAGAAGAAACAGTGCAACCTCGGCGTCCGATTTAAAAATGTTCAATTCTTTGAGTTCTCCGTTCAAAAGCCTTCCCGATTATTATTAGTTTCTTTGACTATAAACTACGGTAATCCCTCGCCCTAATCCTCCTTCTCTTCATAGGGATTGCCTCTTCCATGTTAAATGTATCTAATCCGTTGATAGCATAGGGTTGATAGACGCTGGCTTATTCTTCAGCTCCGACTTCGCGTGCAGGCACAGCGCACAAGCGCAAAAACAAACAACACCCCCCTCTGTCGGTGATTGGTTAGAACACTGTTTATTTTGATTTTGAGTGGTGGTTGTTCCCATTTGTTTTTGTGTGCAGATCTCTGAGCCGAGGCTGCCTACAGAAACGTTTTTTTTTTTTTTTGACAGCCTGTTTATGGGGCGGACTGCTGTAGCGGATCGTTAGGAAAGATTAGATGAATGTGATCATTTTTGTTTGGGCCTGAAATCACTAAAACAACCTTCAGGTATTGTTGATAAGAAAAATGCATAATATTTGTCGGTTTTCCTGTAAAGAAAAACAGAAAAAAAAAAACCGAGGGGGAAAAAAATCACCAGATGGCGCCATTTATAAAACAAATTACCGTCACACTGATGAGCGAATTAGGCGGGGAAAAAATATCAGTAAAAAGGATATTGTTAAAGTTGATTTGTTAAAGTGCATCTTTATCTGTTCCAGGTTCAGGTCTGTCTTCAGCTGCTAAAGGAGGAATATGTGTTGGTGTTGGTGTTGGTGTTGTGCTGGTCGTGGCAGCAGTTGCTTATGTGAATTACCGTCGCCACAAGAAATCTACAGGACATAATAATGGCAAGTATTTATACAGATGATTTGACAGGATGGAGGCATGAGATCTATTGAGCAAAACAATCTTTAAAAATATGTGTATTTTTAAATTAACCAAAGCAAGTTAATTGAGTTTATTGTTGTTGTTGTTGTTTATACAGGCTTCACAAGGCAGAACGATCATGATGAGGTAAGATGTGCACTGAATCTGTCTGCAAAAAAACTGATTTTACAACCGATTCTGATTTGTGAGCTCTGCAATTTACGCATAAGGCTCTCGGCTCAAATCTGATTATTTTCCAATTGGAATATGATGTAAATTATTGACTGTCCAGTTTTGTGCGTGTTCAGATCTGTCCTGTGGCAATAATTTTCTGCAATATCTGCACTGGTTTCTGTGGCAATGGCATTGCATTTGTATGCATGCGCCAAAAACAACAACAGCAACATGGAAGGGTTACAATTCAGATACAGACGCAGTAGTCCAGCGCAGCGGCTACATATTGGCAGTGTTAAATACTGTCTATATGTGTGTCTACTATGCCACGTTCCAGCATCTTCTGAATCAGTGGCTGAATTTTTGTATTTATTACGAACAGAATTTGTTCTGCACACAGCGGTGTATAAAATCACTAGTTCTATGTATGTACTACATTTGTATACAAACTTACTTTGCGACCGTTCCAGACGTACTACATCCGCCATGTTGTCATTGTCATGTGACCTACCAGTGTCTTTTACGTCCCTTCAGCTCAATTCCCAAATCCGCTCCCGTGGCCTCAAAGTAAAGTGGGATCGTAAAGGGTTCATCGTATACACACTTCAGAATCTCAGCCGGAAGTTTTAGTTCACCACTAAAAATGTAAACATAAACTTTCTGCCACAGAAGACAGTAGCGCAATGGATACACATTGTCATGTAAATACGACAATATCTCTATTTTTGCAAACCACAGTGTGAATGTTGCCCATGTAACTCAAAACGGATTCGTAAAAATTATATTTCATGTGATTTTATTATTTTTATTATTATTATTTGCCTTTCACACTTAAGATAAATATAAGGAGGATTGTATTTCAATCTGATATGCACAAAAATCTGATTTTTGATTCTGCTTTAAGGGATAGTTAACCCGAATATGTAGCTAAATTACTCACCCTCAAGTTGTTCCAAACCTGTATAAAATGTATTTCTTCTGTTGAACACAAAAGAAGATATTGAAGAATGTTGGTAACCAAAAAAATTTGTTGTAGCCATTGACTTCCATTGTATTTTTTTCCTACTATGGAAGTCATTGGCTGCTGTACTCTTCAAATATCTTTTGTGTTCAACAGAAGACAGAAATTTGTGCGGGGTTGGAACAACTTGAGGGTGAGTAAATGACCGAATATTCATTTTTGTGTGAAGTGATCTCTTTAAGTGTTCACGGAAGCCCTGAACCGCAACCTAAAAAAAAAAAAAGTCAGTAAAAAAAAAAAAAATCTGTAAAAAAAAAAAAATCTGTAAAAAAAAAAAAAAATCTAGCATTTCGAGATTAAAGTCGAAATGTTTCGAGATTAAAGTCGAAATGTTTCGAGATTAAAGTCGGAATGTTTCGAGATTAAAGTCGAAATGTTTCGAGATTAAAGTCGAAATGTTTCGAGATTAAAGTCGAAACATTGTGCATTCATAACAGTGCGCGTCCACTGGCTCAGAGCGCGCGCGTGAAGTCGAACTGCCATGGATAAACACAAAATAGTAGCTTTTTACTTTTATCTGAATTACTTATCTTACTTCATCGTTATAAAATATAATGCGCCGGAATAGACTTTAGCCTATAGGAAAACCAACACGGAAAACACTTTTCAGACTGGATGGAGAAATCCAGCTTTATGAATGAATGAATGAATGAATAGGGCATTTATATAGCGCTTTATATATGCCTACACTCAAAGTGCTTTCCAATCATATCAGAGAATCTCTCCTCAACCATAAGTGGTTATTAAATCTCAGGAAATCACAGGATCCGGCCAAATGATTGGATACAGAATGATGCACTTAAAATGTATCCAGAGCGTATTTACGTTGAAGAGGGAGACCGAACAGTTACTGTTGTGTTCTCGACCCAGATAGTGTTGACTAGACGAGCACGAAAACACCTCAGAAACACTGCCACTAGCACGTGTGACGTGTGTAGAATTTTGTTGAAAGCCCAGATAAAAGTAAAAAGCTACTATTTTGTGTTTATCCATGGCAGTTCGACTTCACACACACACGCGCGCGCTCTGAGCCAGTGGACGCGCACTGTTATGAATGCAAAATGTTTCGACTTTAATCTCGAAACATTCCGACTTTAATCTCGAAACATTTCGACTTTAATCTCGAAACATTTCGACTTTAATCTCGAAATGCTAGATTTTTTTTTTTTAACAGATTTTTTTTTTTTTTTTACAGATTTTTTTTTTTTTTTTAGGTTGCGGTTCAGGGCTTCCGTAGTTTCTGCATTCAGAAATCACACCAATAATTTATCTTGACTGAAGCGAGTGTTGCTCTCTTGTGGTGTTTTACTTAGGAATAAAGAGCACTCAGAAAACACATTTGTTTTAACCTTCTGTAAATGTGTGTTTTCTTACAGAGAAATGATGCGGAAAACTCTATTCCCTTATCGAAAATGTTTTCCGCTGATCCCTGCTGATAACGGGACATCAATACGACTTCCAGTTTGTAATGGTGGAGGGCAAATGAATCCCAAACGGATCAGTGCGGGATGATCAGGGCCCGAGCACCGATGCTGAGGGGACCTATACTGAAATTGCTCCGTTTATTATTATTAATCTCTATAACTCTACCATTAGCGGCAGCATTTGTTATAAAATATATAATACCGCACTAATCTATTTTGATCAGATTCATAATCATTAATATTGCAAGATGCAAGCACTCTTCACAGATCATGTGTGCAAATGCCACAACAAGGCAACATGATTTCACGTTTCTAACTTTAGTTAGTGTGTAATGTTGCTGTTAGTTTGAGCATAAACACCATCTGCAAAGTTATGACGCTCAAAGTTCAAAACAAAAAAAAGATATTTGCTTTTAATGAAACTGATTTTTAGGGACTATACAAATGGCTTGTAGGGACTACGTTATTAACATCACTAACCCTAAAATATACATAAACCCCGTCCATGGGAGCGGGATTAATAGATTATCAAGACTAAATATGCTAATCAGTGACTAGAAGATAGTTAACTCCACATCAGCAACATAAATGCATCAACTAACCATTCAGAAACATCCTGTTGCATTCTCCATGTTGTCACTTCTTTGTCTCTCCATCGTTGTCTGAGTCCGGTTTGAACACAAAACGTCTAAACGTTTTTTTTATTTTTATTTTTTGATTTTCAGTGCATATCTGTTTGAGGCATAGACAGTAAAAGAAATGGACAAAGCGACCCCATTGATTTCAACTGAGAAAATTGAAGTCTGTTAAAAGCTGATCGTCAGACGTCACAAACTGAGCCTGTCACGTGAGCAACCTGTACGTCTTCTAGTTGCTGTGCCGAGTGAAATCTGTTCAATTTTAAAATTGAAAAAAATCAATTTTAACACGCTATATAAAAATATCTGTGGGGTATTTCGAGCTAAAACTTCCCCTACACATTTAAAGACTTATTTTACATCTTGTGAACAGTGCATTTTACCAGACAACACACAGGTCTTAAAGGATTAGTTCACTTTTGAAAAAACTTTTGCTGATAATTTACTCACCCGCATGTCATCCAAGATGTCCATGTCTTTCTTTCCTCAGTCGAAAAGAAATTTAGGTTTTTGATGAAAACATTCCAGGATTTTTCTCCATATAATGGACTTCAATGGGAACCGGATGGTTCAAGTATCAAAAGACGATTAAAAACTGTTTCAGATGCAGCTTCAAATGTCTTTAAACGACACCAGACGATGAATAAGGGTCTTATCATGCGAAACGATCGGTTATTTCAACACTTATTCCAAAAATGTAACTTTTATAAGGACAAATGCTAGCCTTGCCATATTCTGTGAGGCGCGTTTGCAACGTCTACGTCTACTACGCCGGCTACGTCGCCCGTGACCTTTTGAACGTAATTACGTATTACGTGACGTTACAAACGCGCCTCAGAGAATAGAGCAAGGCTAGCTTTTGTCCTTATAAAAGTTACATTTTTGGAATAAGTTTTGAAATAACCGATCGTTTCGCATGATAAGACCCTTATTCATCGTCTGGTGTCGTTTAAAGACATTTGAAGCTGCATCTGAAACTGTTATTAACCGTCTTTTGATACTTGAACCATCCGGTTCCCATTGAAGTCCATTATATGGAGAAAAATCCTGGAATGTTTTCATCAAAAACCTTAATTTCTTTTCGACTGAGGAAAGAAAGACATGGACATCTTGGATGACATGCGGGTGAGTAAATTACCAGCAAAAGTTTTTTCAAAAGTGAACTAATCCTTTAAATTAAGTTTGTGCTATAAATATTGTAAAAAGACTGTAAATGTTACATCTTTGCCACTTTAGTATTGTCATCTTGACAGTGCCAGTATGTTGAGTTTTGGATGCTTGTGTTTTAACCAGAAAGTCTTTCTTTCTCAGCCAGATTGTTCAACACCAAGGCCCTGTTTACACCTGGTATCAAGGTGCGTTTTGGTTGATCGGCTCACAAGTAGACGAAAAACACAAATCTCAGGCAATTTACATATAAATGCAAAAGCAGGCGATGGAGAAACATACGGAGAGCATCAGCTTTCTCTCCTGCTCTAACACACACAAGAGACCAGCCGAACGCTGTGAGTGTGTGTGTGTGTTAGAAACCAGGAACGGAGAACGTTGTGTGTCCAATTGTGATACTATTGAACAACATCTTAATAGCAGGTGTGAACCAGCCCTAAAGTAGTGTTTTCAACAGAAATCCTTTAGAAATGAAACTTTTCTGTCCACACTCATGTTTTGGGTTTTGTTTGTTTGGGTGTCAAAGCTTTGTGTTTGTGCTTAAAGGTTCAAGTCCAGCATAAGCTTTACACATTTTATAAATGTGTGTTTATTGATAAAACATTAATATTACTTAAAAAAATCAGATGTTTACTTCACTAAGTGCCTTCACTGTTGAAATGTGCAAATAATTATTATTTTTTGCACAAAATCTTCTGAATTGTTCTTTGTATTTTGTTTTAACATGTATGTTGTAAATTGTATTATCCTGTCTTTAAGTGTTTGCGATGTTGATCAGGTTTGTTTCATCCAAGTTCTTGCAAAAGGAAGCTAAAGATTCACAACTTCACATTATTTGTCCATTATAGATTTTTTTTATATAATATTATATATTCTTGCATGTTTGGCTGTTATATTTGTTCAAAGTGCATGTTATGTCATAATTGTTGTCTTTTTATGTATTCTTAAAAAATGATCACTGTGTGATAGAAATGATCGCATACACCTGCATTTTCTGCATTCCAGAGTCTCTACCACCACATTCCAGGAAAACGAACAGGAAAAAGTGGAATAAAAAGTATGTCTGACCCAAGTTTAAAACTTAATCTGTTTGTTAGGGTTATGTTAAGTTAGTTTATTTGTGTTTTAATTTGGTTTTGTTCTGTTCCTGTTTCCATGTTCCACGCCATTGTACATTACCATGTTTGCTGATTTGAGTTTTACACCTGTTCACTGTTTCATTGATGACTAAATGTGTATTTAAGACTATGTCTACAAAACGTTTACCAGGTTTGATTCATTATTAATTACTGTTTTTGTTTGCCCTTTGTGACAGAACAATGGGAAAATACTTCTATTGTTCAAACCTCTCTTTCTGTCTTATGTTTATCCTGTTTAATGTGGATTATGTGATCTGTTCCCAGAGTTACTTCTTTAGAAAGCTTACCTGTAAACAAACAAAAATAACTGTATACAAAATCTATTTTCTTACTACAATGCAGTACTACAAGTGGATAATCAGAAATAAAATATAAATTAATTAAAACTAACTAAACTAAATATTGCAGCGTTTTCTATATTTCACATTCACACAGTAGGATCTCTCTTTGGTTTGAGAATTTTTTATGTTGGATTTAGTATTTTGTAGTAAAGATGTTTTGTCTAAAGCAGAAGTCAAACAGTTTCATGTGAGCAGGAATGGAAAAATAACCTTCAATCGCACGCTATTGACACCTCAAACACACTCTCACACACTGCCATTAACACAAACATCTAGCAGTTACAAGCTCGAGCATAACCTGTTTGGCCAACAGATCAAACCACATTTCTGTACAGATGTGAACACATGAGAAGTCTCCACTCCTTTTGATTATTTTGCACTGAGGAGAGATTTACACACATGATCTCACTAAAACTTTTAAGAGTCAAACATGATAATGCTGCACAGTGCCGTGTGATTTAGATCATTTGTTAAAGTCAAAGAGGTTTTAGAAGACCATTTCATGAATCATCTTTAAATACCAAGAATGATCCTATTCAGTCCGCTGTCATTTCCTGATGAAACGTTGTCATCTTCATCATTGAAGTTTGATCATCATCTTATGGCAATAGGCACATACACAACATGATCTTCCTCTTTAACGTTCTGTAAAATAACACATCACAAGAGATGCAAAACATCAGATGTGTGACTCTTACAGCAGACAGAGAGACATATCTTAGACAGGCTTGTTGTTGTGATGTTGCATTTTACTTTTGACCTCAATGATTCACAAATGTATTGAAGTATATCCAAACTGTTTGATCTGAGATTTTGCTGTGACAATATCTAATCGGCCACAAGTGTGCAAAAAAGAAGAAGATGGGCAATGTAAATGCACGTTGGCTGGCGTTCAGATATCACAACTATGCAGTGTTTTCAACCACATAAGTGGAAGTAAATATAAAGGTTACTATCAGAAATGTATTTCATCTCATGTCCAGTGAGTGTAAAAGCTCTGTCCAGAGTAAATGCTTTGCTTGCACATTCCTTCGTATGTAATTCTCAATATCTGGAGAATTATGGAATGCCAAAGTTATATTAAAAAAATAATAAATAAATACATAAAGTAAATATACGAAGAAATGTAAAAAAGCAAAAATACATAAATAAATACATAAATAAATATACAAAGAAATGTAAAAAAGTACAAATAAATGAGTATACTTTTATTTCCGTTATAGACATAAAAACATAAATACATAAATGAATGTATAAATAAATAAACGTGGAAATAAATAAATGTGGGAAAAAATACAATTATACATAAATAAGGAAATAAAGTATAAAGACTCATTTATTTGTAGTTTTTTACATTTCTTTGTATATTTATTTATGTATTTTTGCTTTTTTAAATTTCACCGTATATTTATTTATATATGTATTTTTAATTATGTCAACCTTGGCATTCCATAGTTTTGTGTGATGGATCCTTATACAAAAACACAGTCACACATCTAAATCTGACCAACTGCTAAATTTAGACGTAAATAAACATAAATTAGGAATATATTCTCTTACCAATTTATGTGCTTTCCTTTTGTGGAATGTGGGAACAGCATATGTTATCTCTTCTTTATGAATCTGAACTGTTATGCAACAACAACAATATAAATCAGATGCAGATATGATGTTTAAAGCATCTGAATTCTTTGTGGGAAATTCAACCATCATTAAAACTCGAAGTGAAACAGCATCAACTAGTGAAATAATGTAGAAATTATATAGTTTTGCATTTCTATATTCATATTTCCAGTGTGCTTTGTAAAAAGTGGTGTTCAGTGTCATTATGATATAGAGATGCATAATGTAATCTGAATAAACTGCAAAACAAGATAACTAAAAATACAGTATGTATTAGTATTTGTTATAAAGCGTATCAGTTTATATAACAATTATAAAAGCAGAAGATAATTCTTGCCTTCCTGATCATTTTTTCTGCGTCTCCTGCAGATGTTGAAGATCACGACTGTAGATACAATCATCAGAGATCCAGCAGCAGAAGCAGAGATCAACACTATCAGAGACACTGGAGAGTGTGAAGAAGGGTGTGTGTCCGCTGTAATTATACAGAAAGAATGAGTCACAAGAGATCAGGTCAGTACACACACACACATATCTGATGAGTGGTGGTGTACCTGCACATGTGTGTCTGCAGAGTGTGTTGATGTCCAGATGTGTGGTCTGGTTGCTGATGGGATTGTTCAGCACACAGCTGTAGGTGTTTTTATCCTGATATTCCACCTCCAGAGGTAGAGAGAGACTGATGCTGAGATCACACACACTGATGCTGGACAATACACTCATTCCTGTGTACCAGGACAAAGTCGCATCACACACACTCAACACTGATGATGAACACACCACTGAACATGATGATGAACAGTTTCTACTGATGACAGGAACAGGCAGACGAGCTGGAAAATGTGATGATAAAGAGTAATATTGAAAACTCTAATAATATCATTTTGAGTTCAGTGTGTTGAATGAGGGTTTATTCTGTGATTTTTTTATGCCTTTTTTAATTTTCTGTTTTTCTCTATAATATTAGAAAAAGCTTTTCCCTCCCAGTTACAGGTCTATTATAACAGCACATGACCACTATATGAGCCTTTCCAGTCTGGCTTTCGTCCTTTACACTGCCCTGGTTAAGGTTTTTTATGATCTCCTCAAAGCTTCTGATTCTGGCACTCTCCTTTTGACCTCAGCTCAGCTTTTGACACTGTTAGTCATGAGATTGGAATTACTGACACAGCCTTTGTCTCCTTTCTGATAGCGAGGCAAAAAATTTGTTATATACCAGAAGCACAAACCATCCACCAAATCCCTCAGTTCTGGTGTGCCTCAAGGCTCTGTCTCGGGCCCTATTTATACGTGTAACGTCGGGGCTAGAAATAAAACGGAGAGCGAATCCAAACGCAAGCACTTTGTTTAAATAAACAAACAAGTAATCCAAGGCAAACTAACAGAACATGACTCAGGAAAGAGAACTCGGGAAAGAGAACTCGGGAAAGAGAACTCGGGAAAGAGAACTCGGGAAAGAGAACTCGGGAAACAAAACTCGGGAAACAGAACTCGGGAAACAGAACTCGGGAAACAGAACTCGGGAAACAGAACTCAAAGCAGGAGCAAGAAACCATTACACAAAACAACGACCGACAAACAAAGACTGGGGAACAGAGGTGTAAATACACAGACAAACAAGCTAAACAAGGTATAGGGGGCGTGGCTTATCAGAAACACCTGGGGAGACTAATCAACGAAATGGGGAACAGCTGACATGGAAAAACAGGGGAACACATGACACACAAGAACAAGATACAAAACCCACACATGACAATATGTTACCAATGGGCTTCATGCCCAGCTGCACTACTTCCTGAACTTAAGCCAGCTCCTTGTTTCCTGTCTGACATTATTGGTCAAATTGATTAATTCAGGTGTGCTTGACCTCAGTAGTCATGGCAACAATAATCAGACACACCTGAATTAATCAATTTGGCCACTTCAGGAGCTGGCTGAAGTTCAGGAAGTAGTGCAGCTGGGCATGAAGCCAATTGGATAAATTCTCAAACGCTATGGGTTTAACTTCCTCTGTTATGCTGAAGACATTCAGATTTATTTTTAGCCAGTGTTTCCGCTGCTTACATTCTCTTGCAGCAATGAACCAATTCTGTTGTATCCATCTGGTCAGCTTATATATTTGGATAGTGACTTGATAATTGCCCAGTTTGAACTCTCGCTGATCTCATTGATTGCATTTTTTTATTTAATGATCACATTGGTAAAGTGGTAAAGACAGCTATTTTCCACCTGTGTGATATCTCTCATATTCGATCTTCTCTGAAATTAGTCAGCAGGATGTTGAAAGCGAAACCATTACATGCCTTTATCACGTCTCAACTAAATTACTAACTCACTTCTTTATGGCCTTTCGACTAAAAATATCAAACAATTACAATATGTTCAAAACTCTGCAGCCCGCTTGATCTCTCACACAAGAAAGAATGAACACATTACTTCAATTGGCTTCCAGTTTCCTTGCGTATTATCTTCTAATCCTGACTTACAAAGCTCTCCATAACCTTAGTCTTTCTTTCAGAGTTATGTTCCTGTTCATTTCTTACGTTCTTGAAAGTCAGTGTCAGTGATGGAGGGAGATTTACAGATGTTGTATCTTGGATATGTTATTTGTTTGAATCCCTCTTTGCTGGTTTGTGTATTTATTTTGTTCTGTTCCTTAACCCATCTTTGTAAAGCAACCTTGGGTGTTGGAAAGGCGCCTTAATTACAAATTATTATTATTAAACTAAAAAATAATTTAAAAATGCAAATAGTTTATAGGTCAATTTACTGTTTATAAAATAATAATAGGACAGAGCAAATGCTCTTACTCACCATAGACAGAAACATTGAATGTTTTAGATAGTATCGTTTTCACTCCATTTATCTCTAGTTCATAAACTCCAGTGTGTTCAGTTGTGGTGTTTGTGATGATCAAAGATCCAGTTTGATCGTCCAGCTTCAGTCTGTCTCTGAATCTCCCATCAGGAACATCATCAAATGTGTAGGAAGTTTGCTTCTTTTTATTCATTTTAGCTATGAGAGACTTTTTATCTCTAAATTGCCACAGTATGTCATCTTCTTCACATATTTCAGTAACACCAGTGTGTAGAGTGACAGAGTCGCCCTCCATCACTGACACCGACTGTTTTTCATTTATCTCAGCACCAAACACACCTAAAGGACATGAACATGTTTTAAACAGATTAAGACTCTTGTTGGTTTACAAATCCTGAAATTTGAGATACTACACAATCACACAGATGTGTGACAACTAATAATTTGTTCTCTGTTTTAAAGTTATCTGCAGCTGAGCATAATCATTGCTTAAAATTGCATAATGTACTGAAAACAAATTATATCTTCAGCGTGAGGCTACAAAATTAATTTTGCTGGATATTTTCAATAATATATATATATATATATATAAGATGTTGAGATAAGTAAAACAGGCTGATTGATGCTCTCAGGGTTCATGAGCATTATAACAATTGAATTTCTATGACATGTGTCTGTTTATGAAAACTGCAGAAGTATTAAAAATTAAATTATGTAACCTGATTTCAAAGCTAGTAGATCTCGCTATAAATATTCATCTGGCACAGGTATCAGCATGAAAATAATCGAATCTGAACAGTAGCAGCTTTATTGCTCTGAAATGGAAAGAAATTAAACCATTAAAATGTTTTTATAACTTACCAATTTGACTCCAGCAGCTCAAATAAAACAAAAAAAGCGTGTGAAACATTGTCTTTAACTGTTCAGTGATCTAATAACACTGTTTGCCAAAACACTCAGTCAATGTGAATCATGTAAAAATAGAGTTAAAACCAACTGCATCTCTCAGTACCAACTGCACTGACGTTCATCTTCCAAGTCAAACTGAAAGTAGCTGTGGTCGGTTTTCAGAGATGTGGTTTGATCTGTTGGGTGGACAAACGTCTTGTAGGTGAGAATGTATTTTGAGAGCAGGTGTGTTTAGCTGGTAGGGGGAAAGTTTCTTCCAGACCTGCAAACAGCTTTTTTTTTTTTTTTTTTACATGACAACTGACACAGAAGTGAGAAACGATAACTCTCATCTGTTGTAAGTGAGGGAGTGTGTGAGGTTTCCACCCACTGTGCAAAAAAACAATTTTAATCCTTAACATTTAACCCTTTGATTTACGGTTTTTATGCAATATAAGTCGTTTAATGGTTTTAGGTTCCCTGTGCAAATGTATAAAAAAGAAGGGTATGAATCAGGATGTTGGTTGTATGATGTACATTAAATTAATCAAGATCATCCATGAGACACATATAACAAATAATATAACTGATAAAATCATCTCGATTACCATCATGCAATGACACAGTTTTCACACTGTTGGTGCGTTCACGTGCTCTGGTAATTATGGTTAGTACCAATGCACATGAACACCCGCTTATGTGGTAATTTCCACTGGGCAACTCGTTGCCGAGATGAGATAACCTTTGACCTTTTCAAAATGGCGGTGAGCAACTTTTCACTTTTCATGTATGGTGAAAATATGCACTATTCATGATCTAGAAAATATATACAGCATATTATTTACCATTTGGGTTTTGATATATCATTCTTTTGCTGTAGCAGATGACTTAAAGGGATAGTTCACTTTGAAATTAATTTTTGATATGTTTTATCTTACCTCAAGGGCATCCAAGATGTAGGTGTCTTTGTTTCCAGTATTTTCAATTTTTATATTTTTAGGTCAAACCGTTCTTGTCTGTCAGTCATATAATGGAGGTCTATGGTCACCACCTCAAAAAGCATGCACAGAGAAGTCAAAATTAAACATGATTTAATAACTCGTAAATGTAAGTACACATTGATGGCCTAAGACACGAAACGAGCGGTTTGTGTGAGAAAACGAACAGTATTTATATCGTTTTTACCTCGTGTAATCCAAGTGATCTGAATCAGTTGTGCAATGTCCAACTGAACCGAACTGAATCAGTTCAATGTTACGCCGGAAGTGATCGCTTGCGTGTGACGTCACTCAATATTTACACGGA